AAGAGCGTACTAGAGCTTTTTTGTAAAATTTGTGCAGGATTCAGCATCTGTGAAACTGCTTACCATAAAGAGAGTGACATTCTTTAAATTAGGGGGTTATTTTATTTAAAGGCACAAACAATGCAAGACTCTTTAAAAGTCACGATATATAACACTTTTACATTTAAAACTGAACAGAATGTTACAGACACTTTGGAGGACAGGAACAAGATTCAGAATACCCTCAAACTGGAAAAGAGGTCTGAAATTAATTGAATGAAATCCAGTAAGGGTAAGCACAAAGTACTGCATATGGGATAGATCAATCAAATGCATAAAACAGACTAGGGAACAGATAGCTGCAGTACCGCAGAAAAGGACCTGGGGGTTGTACTAGGGCAGGCCAATAGTAAAAACTTGGTTGTATCCATAGGAGTCCTGCCTAGAAGTCAAGCTACTAATTCTTCTGCTCTATTCAGTAGTGGCAAGGCCTCACCCTGAGTATTGTGTCCAATTTTGAACTTGGATGGTTTAGTCTGGAGAATAACAGTCTTCAAATACCTGAGGGTTATAAAGAGGTTGGCAAAAGACCATCAGGGGACAAAACAAGTAACAATCTTAAATAGCAGGAAGGGAAATCTATTAGGAAGACCTTTCTAATTACGAGGGTGGTTTAGCACTGGAACAGATTTACAGGGGTTGTGGAATCTTCTAATTTCTTATTTTTAAGAGCAGATTAGACAAATACTTGCGCAGACTGGTTTAAACAGGGATGATCCTGCTTTGAGCAGGGAGCTCATGAACTCCTGAAGGCCCTTCCAGCCCTATTTTTCTATGGTGAGATTACAGAAAGGCCTCAAAAAGCTTAAGTTACCTGCTGCTAAGTTGCAGTACAAGTGTTTTATTTATCTTTTAGGTAATTACACATAGGTAGAATAAAAGTGTAAAGAAGAATTACCCTATATGGGAGAAAAAAATTGCTCACAGCATTTTTTTATTTCTGTTTTACTAAGAAAGGCAAAAGATACAGCCAGAAAGCTTCTCTTCTACTACATTTTATAAATAAGTAAGCTTAGAAAAAAAATTAAATGAAATATACTCACCACTGTGCTATTTGCTTCAACATAGCTAAGTTCAGGAACTGAATTTTTAGCATATATTGAAATGGTAACTTCACCTCCAGTCTGATGCCAATCATGCCTACAAGG